GTAAATACCAGTATCTTCATCACGACATGTATTTAACAATCTTCCTGAAATGAATGACTCACTTTCCAAAAATTAAATATATAGGAAGCTTTGAAAAAAATGACTAAAGGGAAGAAATACTGCCTAAAGTTAAATAAATTAAGGTTTTATTTATCTTTTGCATGCTACTTGGAATAAGAGTCAGTAGCATTTAGCTGATGAATACAGGATAGTACATATAATCAGAATGTAGGCAGGCCAAAATTTCATGTAACAACATAGCTCCTAAGTGGTAACTGTTGTTACTATCTTTTGTAAGCTCTTTTTGATCCCAATAGTGATCAAGATTGTGTATCGTCTGTACATCTAGTTTTTCAATAGAAGTGTCTATATAGATTTTTTTTCTCATAAGTTCTCTAAAACTATTTGAAAAAAGCCTATGAAATAGCATTTTCTTGTTGTTTTAATCCTCATTAATGTATGGAACACAAAACTGTAGGGATTTTTCCTCATTTTCTTACCATCCAATTTCAAATATCTGACGAAGAATTGCCTTTTAATTCTCTTTTCTTGAAAAGAAATATTTCCTGGCCATATAGCAGCATTTAAACTTTTGCTGTGGTCTGAAATTCTAGTGCTTTGGGGTTTCTTTTTTATGTGTGTTGTAGCTGGAGTCATAAAGAATACAAACCCAATTATGTTACATGTTCCTTAGTTAAATGTTGCTGGCATACAGAATTAGCAGCTGCTACCCAAATAGTTCTGTTGTTGTTGTATTAAAATAACAGCCATTGTAATCATGGTCTTCTGCTATTCAGTGATGATATAGGAATTAAAATAAACTCCCAGAAATCTAATTCAGACAAAGTAAAGTAAAATTCTGAGCTTTCATTGGCTTCCACATTAAAAACTACAGTAGGAATCTAAGTCTTAATTTTATTTAGGAGAGAGATGGAACCCATCTAAGGGCTGCTTTGAAATCATTGAATGTGGCTGTTTGCTGGACTTATGCACACTGCTGACAGATTATAATTTCATTTTAATACCTTTATGGGAAGACTGTGCCAGAGAATAAACCTGTGTTCAGACTATTACCTGTACAGAGCATTTTCATATACATACATGTGTATATATTTACACACATGTATACACCCACACACAATTGCACACACATTTTGCCAATATTCAGGAAATAATGAAGAAGTAATGGTTATTTAAATATAGACAATATGCATGTATTTCTTTTTCTCTAATTCAGATCAACAGGCTTCTAAAAATACAGGTATGTAGATTGTCACAGTTTAAAACCAGCCAGTAACCCAGACCCATGCAGCTGTTTGCTCTCCCCGCCACGTTTCCCCATCCAGTCAGAATGAGGAGGAGAATCAAAAGAATGTAAACCCCATGGGTTGGGATAAGAACAGTCCAGTAGCTGAAGTAGAGCATACTACTAATAATAATGATAAGGGAAATAACAAGCGGAGAGAATATAAAACTAAAAGGGGAAAAGGAAGAGGAAAACCACAATAAACAGCAGTAATGCACAATACAATTGCTCACCACCCCCTGACCAATACCCAGCCCTACCCTAGCAGCAATCTGGTCCTTTCCAGGTAACTCCCCCTAGTTTATATAGTGAGCATGACATGCTATGGTATGGAATACCCCTTTGGCTAGTTTGGCTCAGGTCCTCCAGGCTTCTTGTGCCCCTCCTCACTGGCAGAGCACGAGAGACTTAGCAACAGCTAAAACATTGGTGTGTTATCAGCATTATTCTCAGACTAAAGCCAAACCACAGCACTGCGCCAATTACTAGGAAGAAGAAAAAATAATTATAGCTGAAATTAGGACATAGAGTCGTAGAGAACTTCTTGGTATGGTTATAAAGGTAGCTAGAGAGCCTTAGCCATAGCCATGAGCCAGGGACAGTGTTATGACCACAAAAGTTCCCCATTGATAGACCCCTCTTTTTGGAAATGAAATGAGGTTCCACTTAAACTTGAGAAGAAACTTCTTCTCAGTGAGGGTGACGGAACACTGGAACAGGCTGCCCAGGGAGGTTGTGGAGTCTCCTTCCCTGGAGACATTCAAAACCCGCCTGGACACATTCCTGTGTAACATTATCTAGGTGTTCCTGCTCCGGCAGGAGGATTGGACTAGATGATCTTTCGAGGTCCCTTCCAATCTCTAGCATACTGTGATACTGTGATACTGTGTGACTCAAGGCTTGCCCACTAAGTGAAACTCAAATTTAAGCCAACCTACCAGTCTTGGGAGAAATGCAGAAAAGAAAGTACAGTTCCACTTTCCGGATGATCCCTTGAGTCTGTAATGAACTGTTGACTTGAGGTGATTGTAAAATTATAATAGCTGTCATGGGATGGGAAATCAAGAGCTTTAGAGATCTATTGAAATGACTGTATAAATAAAACATATCACTGAGAGAATGACTACTAAATCCTGTATTAATCTGGTTGCAGCTGGAAGTTTCCAGAAAGTTGAGCATGCTCTATGTGAAACTAGGAGGTCATACAACTAATAATGTGCTATGTGGTTTCTGAAAATCAAGCATTTCCCAAAATTAAATGGGGTCAAAAGGTGTACTGTGTGACAGATGGAGCAATTGCATATAAATTGCAGAGAAATGGCGTCAGCTTCAGCAGTCGCTGATAATTTTTTGCTGCCATTAGAGGCTTCAGAGTGGATACCTAAAATGCAAGGAATGGTAAACTGCATGCATGGGACTTGACTACATTATATATATATATATATATGAAAAAATATATATATACATACACACACATATATTATCACTATTATGTGAATAGAGGAAGATGTAGCATAAATTTTGAATACATCTGGGAAGACTTGCAACCCCAGAAAATCTTCTTCTGAATGAGATTTTTATTCATTATCAAAGGAAATGTGAGCCAGAGGATGTGCTTACAATGTGACTTCTTCATTTGTGATAGATGTATGCATGGCACTGGGAATGCATCTCAGAATACAAGGTGACTTTACATCCACAGATAAATGAAATCAAGTAATTTTTTTTTTTTTCTAGTTTATTAATACATGGGTCAGTGTTTAAGAATTAAAAACTTTTAAAAATGAATGCTTACTGAATTAAACTTTACAATTACATTGCACATAGAGCTCCTTAGTGAGGAAAAAAGTAGCCCACATGACATCCAAAACTTGGATGTTGACTGAGATTTAGAGCCTGTATCTAACATTTCTCAACGAAGTTGACAGATTAGAGAGCATTTGTGTTTCATTAAAAGTCATATTTTACCTAATTATGTACTGAATACATATAATTGAATGCACTGATATGTTACATACACAATAAGTACTGTACAGTGGCAGTGAAAATGTGAGCTTTGTGTGAAGATGAGTCTCAGCCACTGCTTTTCACATTTTGACTCACTAATCACCATTACTCCATATATAGTGGCAGTGTTTCCAGAAAATTTCTGTAGAAAATCTGTATTCTGTCTGTATCAAAGAGAAGCAAACCAGTACACAGAACCCCAAACTGAATATATTAGCAATTCTTAAATACAGTAGTAACGATTAACTGCATTCTGTCAGTTGTAAAACTGATTGTAAAATCATGGATTGAGAGATACTTGAAACCCTGAATTTTTAGGGATATGAGGACATTTTAAATAACAGAATAAAAAGAAGTAATAAAATACTTATTTTAGCTAAATATGATGTCTCTGTGACATACTCTAGAGTTCATACACAAACTCATACATACAGAAATTAATATACTGCTCTTTTTCAGTGTGTCCTGAAAACACACTTCCAAATAAAGACAATTCAGGAAAAAAATGGTTAATGTAGCGACTTAAACCATTTGATTTTGTTAGAAGCCATGTTTAATTCATGAGTTAAATTAGAAACTGAGTTTCCTATTCATGTTTCACTCTTTATCAAGTAACCTTTAACAAGAGGTCTACTTGCTACAGGAGCAAGGACATCACAACGAAATGCTGGGTACAAGGATATCTTGGTGTCTTTTTTTTTTTTTTTTTTGCCAGGAAACAGTAATACAACACAAGGAAATGAGTGGGAAAAGCTATGTTTATTTACTCTTACTCCCATAAGCACAGTCTAGGGCATGTATGGACATGTGTGTTTATCTGTGTGTGCGTGTGTCTGTGCACATGTATACACCTCACAAGTATTTTGACAAGCATACTGAATACAAATTAAAATATATTCTTTACTAAATCTTCTAATAAATAAGTACAAGTTCTTTATCATGGTAAGTAATTGTGTTCAGCTAAATTCCAGGTTTTTCTAAAGAGCACGAAATGTGATAATTTATGAACCATGGCTACTTTTGGACCAATTTCATGTTTGGAATCTACTCAAATCTGTTTCACCTTTTTACAGTCTGTTGTTTTATATATCTTCTTACTCATATGGGAAATGAGATTAAATTTGAAGGTCTTTATGGTTTATCTTTGTCCAGTTGAGTAAGATTCAAAGATAATTTCATTGGCATTATTTCCATCTAAAATTCAGGTTGTGGCTGATTCTTAAATCCTAATGAGCATAAATAAAATGTTAAGTCATTGAAGCTGGTAACTGAAGGCATTATTTCTACAAGGTTACAGAACAGAATGACATAAATTGCATTTCTTGCTTAGAAACCATAATTTGGTCAATTTTTTAATATAATTTTTGGTTTATATTTTTTTTAATAGCACATTAATTTTGTTTTTGCAGAAATCACTTTTAACTAAAGTAACTGCATTGTCACAGAATATGATACATTTTTTCAAATATTTTCAATTTGTTCTTCTTGACATTTTATGTTTATGTGCAGTTTGCATCTTTTTTGTTTTTCAATTTCAAATGTAACAGATTTTGACATTTTTGTTACATTTTTTTTTGTACTAGTGTTTTGGGTTTTTTTTTAGTTTTTTTTAGGGCTTTTTTTTGAGAACCTGCTGGTTTTGAATTCTCTTTTTTTCCCTTTATTCTCCTCCTCACTATGATCCCAGGAGCCAACACAAAGAAAAGCGCAGATGATATAACCAGTAATGATCGTGGTGAAGATGAAGGTATTTTTTGTTTTTTCAAAGCTCAACCCTGATGCATGAACATAAACTTTTAAATTTTTATTATAATAGTGATTATCATTGTTATTGTTATTGCTGTTATTTCAACATTATTTTTAGTCCCTTATTTGCAGAAGCACACTTCAGCGTGCTTCTTTATTTTCTTCTTTGGAAATTTTAAATTTCAAATTAGCATATAGACTGCAGTTCCTCTGACATAGGTGTAAAAGTTGTCCCTAAATATGTGTGAAGTGAGTAACATAAATATTATTTGAAACAACATATTTTTTTTTCCTTTATTCTTTCTTAGGTTGAGAAAATGGAATTTAAAAGCATGCATGTGCTCTTTTCCCTCCTACGTATTTTCTAAATTCACCTGTTTGAAAGTCATGAAAAAAATCACATTTCGCCTTTCTTTTACTTCCACTGTTTCCCCAGGGCACATGCTGTACATTGATGCAGTTGAATTGTGTTTTGTCTTTGCTATTTTTATGTACTTATTTTTTTTTCTCACAGGATGTGGTTTATTTCAGAACACAAAAATAAAGGCAGCTGTTGATGTTGCTTTATTGTTTTTTTTCCTGTAATTAGCTTGCCTCTGAGATACGTTTGTTCTGACTCTGACCACATTCCCACTGAAATCAATTACAATCATTTTCATTGACTTCTTTCAGAATTGGATTGGATTCACTGAAGGAAATGTTAAGTAAAGTACCCAAAAAATTTTTACAAGGAAATACTTTTTTCTTGCCTTGGGACATCCAGTCTGTTTGGGATGCACTGATATAGAAAGAAGTCATGAAATCTTCGTCTATTCTCACTGTTTTCATTAAAGTCACACTGACAGTGTATTTTACTTTCTGTATTTACCAACTTAAGACAAATATTTTTCAAATTAATTGAAAAGATAAAAATCTTGGGTAGTTTATTGGTGTGTTGTTTGTGCAGTATGTTTCTTAATCCTCTTGTTCTCAACCAATCCAAAGCGTTATTCCATGGTTTGGGGTTGTTTTTTTTTCCTGTTTTCTTCTATCTGAATTCAGTTCAAATAACTGAAATATTTGTCCCTGTTGTTTGCCTTAGAATCATGCATTCTGCATACACTATCTCTGCTTTTCCTGGGAATTCAGCTCAATTGCAGCTTATCTATCTGTACACAAAACGCCATAATAAAAATCTCAGGTCTTTGATTCACACTGATTGCCCTCTACTGTACCCCACTCATTACTGAATTACACTGTTTCTTATAAAACAACAATGCTGTTCAAAATACTCCAAAATTTCTCTGTTATTTTCTGAATAATACATTCCTATTTCTCTGCAGCATAGGTGTTTTTTTTAGAAATGATACCATAGTTTTCTATATCAAATTCTGTATTTAAGCAAAAGATAAATTAGAATCAAAACCAGAATTGCTTGAAAAACTTAAGATATATATTGGATTATGAATACGCTGTAACTAAGACTTCTTAAAAAATTAAAAATGCTAGGGTTTTTTTGTGGTTAACAAGGGCATCCACTTTAGATTTGAGAATATAAAGTGTGGAGCTCATTTCCTTTATGTTGAAGCTAATCGTGTTCCCACTGAAGGGGAAGAGGAAACCTCCTATTGACTTCAGCAGTGAAAGATTCAACCCTAAGGTAGAACTATGTAATAAGGAAAGATTAAATACAACAAACCATGCCATGAGACTTTGGAGAGAGGTAATTCAGTAGCACAAATAATTGTGTTAAATAACTCTTTGCTTTCATTTTTTCAGGGCTTAGCTTTGCTTTTACAGAAGAAACACTTTCATATAGTTAGCTGAAAATGCTCAGAATAAAAAAAAAATACATCCACTGGAATGCACCTCATTGCTTTATACGATCTGTGTAATAGCTGCATTACTCTTATAGTCACAACAATTAAGAACTTACGACAAAAAAATTTGTTCTGCTGCTCAAGTACAGTACATAAAATACAGCATGTTTTATATATGTTGTAACTCACTGCTGATCACGTTTGTTATCTTTTCTAACAATGTTCAGGAGAAGGAAGAGTTTTGGAAGATTTCAAACCTATATGCCCTACCTCTAAGTATTTAGCTCAGCTTTTAATTTCGTTACTTCCTTTTCCCACTATTCAGTACACGCCTATCCTAACCAAACACCGTGTTTTAAGCTCTGTTTTAGAATAATCAGAGACTCTGCCTTCTCTTGTATGTTATACTGTATGATTAAAAAAAGTGCTTCTATTACACATGCAGATACACCAAATTATTTGTAAAAGGTGTGTATACCTAATGGCAGCTTGCTGAGTTGCCCTCTGCTTTTTAAAGGAGCTTAGGCCCTGTTCCCACTGTTACTGTAGAACTGTCCGAACCATCTCTGGGATCAGGAACCTAACTTTTTGCTTAATAAAGGAAGAGAGATGAATACAGTACTGAATACAACTCAGTTAATCTTTATAGCTCACCATGAAGTATGAAAGTATTGCTGTCAATTTTGTGTAACTTTTTTTATAAATAAAGACCCAGTTGTTTATCTGTTTGCAAGAAGTCAAGAGCTTTTTTGCATATACAGAAGATCAACAATACCATTACAGAGCATTAATTCAAGGCTGTTCTTTAAGACTTAGCTACTATGACAAGGAAAAGCACAACACAGAAGACACCATTTGATTTCAGTACAAAAAATCTGGTCCATGAATTCACATAAATTCTGTTAACTCATATGCTATTGAAGAAGGAAAAGTGTACTATGTTTACTTCTATTGGAACAATTTGATTTTGTGATATTATCTCATACTGAACTATTGGGACTATAATTTTGACAATAATGTCTCAGTCAGGAATGCGAAAGTATAGATCATTATTCTAATTTTATTATGATATGTACAGATATTTCTGTGCTGATTTATACTTGGATAAGAATATTCTAAAAAAAGACAAGACTATTCCATAATTTGATTTTTCTCTTTAGGCTTTTAGATTTTTATATACAAATTAAATTCCTTGAAATACTGAAGATATTTCAAGTGTTCAGAGAACATTTCAGAGGAAATACTGTTTGAAGTAACCAAGAGAAATACTCAAGCTGTAACTATTAGACTTGTAGGATGACCCTGAACTGTGTAAACCAGCTGAAGTGGTGAAATTTCCTATTGAAAACATAGGAAATACTTTTAGCACTGTTACAAATTGTTAATACCATATTTCCATATCTTTTATTACTTTATTATGTTTTCCTTACTTGAATTTTTTCAGACATTCATGATCAGAACAGCAAGAAACCCGTTATGGTCTACATCCATGGTGGATCTTACATGGAGGGTACTGGCAATATGATTGATGGCAGCATTCTCGCAAGTTATGGAAATGTCATTGTTATCACTCTCAATTACAGGCTGGGGGTTCTAGGTAAGTGACTCTTTTCTTCATCACCAATTTCATAGAAAGATGTGATTGCTTTATTTATTGATTGATTGATCCTACATCCTTGGGCTAGTTTTAAAACAGACCACTCTTGGTGGTGGATTTTGAATTCTGTTCAATATTTTATGGAAACTGGGCTAAGTTACTTTCTTTTTGACAGGCCCCTTCACCTTAGACAAAAATGAGTGGATATTTATAATGATGTTAGGGCTAGTTTATTTTAAATTTGTCATTAGGTCATGCTTGCTCTTGGCTTACTGATTTAACAAGTTTTGAAAACTTGCATCTTTTTCTTATTAAAATCTTCTTGATTCCATGTAAAGAAAAATAAATTAACCAAGGATGAGGACTCACCAATTTGAAAACAATGGGTAATGATAGGAAGAGGAAAATGTTAATGTTTATCTGTATTTATTATTGTTGTGTGCAGGTTTTTGGGGTAGATGATACAAAGGTAATACAGACAAAACAAGCTATATACCCTGATTAAATTTATGTTGCAGATAATATGGAGTCAAGAAGTAATGTAACGTTATCTTTTTAAATATAAAGAACTCCATAATGATGAATTATAATATTGAGATAGTTTGATATTTCTTTCAAATAGAAAAACTGCATCTTCTTGACATTATAAAAATTCCTCTGTCAGCACTAGATTGAATAACAAAATAACCTTAGATCCATGACAATACACCACAAGTCTTTTCTGCTGCCTGTGTGATTCTAGCTCCTGGATGTTTGCACATACCAGGCTCCTCTCCACATGAAGGTTTATTTATTGAGGTTATACTTTGCCATAGAAATTTAAACTAAAAATTTGCTCATAACAGCAAACATTAGAGTTTATTTATCTTATTGAAGAAAACATATACTTTGTATAGAATAGCATATAGACTGCTCAAATGTTCATATTTACAGCATTTTACATATGCAAGGTAAGGTGTAACAATTTTGTTTGTGTTTTTTTTTTTTATTTAGAATGGCATTTACAAAGGTTTTTTTTAATCTTTCTTGATAGCAAAGTTGATTCATATTCTTGGCATGCACGATTTTGAAACACAGGAAACTTCTTTTGCTGAGTTATCTATTAACGTGGTTAATGTGTTTCAAGAATGTTCTAGCACATCAGAGTACTATGTACAGATGCATTCCTATAAGAAACAGAAAAGTATTGGAAGATTTTAAATGGATTAATAAAAAAAATACAGTTATGTTTGGCATTAAATACTGCTTTTCAACAGTGGCAGTCAAGCTTTTAAGACACTATGGAATTTAATCTTTGTTATAGAAGATCTGTGATTGAATTAGAAGAACAAAAGAAATTCAGAATATACACATAGAATTTAAAAAATCCAGAGAATTGTGTTTTATGAGTGTATTTCAGTTTTTAATTCCTTGATGAAATGTAAATATGATCCTGAGAACTCACTAGGTTCTGTCTGACATTGGAAGATAGGTGAATTCCAGGTATTTTTTACTTGCTTAGTAAGTAAGAAAAAGAAAACAAAAAATTCTTCAGGTAAACGACAATGTGGAAAACAAACTGTTATTATGAAAGTTAAAAAACTAGTATAATTATTACAGCATGCAGTTTGAAAGATTGACAAGATTTGTATCTATTCTAGTCTAGATTATCTTCTTTTTGAAAGATATCTTTATTTCTGTAAATCTGCTGTGTTTCAGTTGCACTGAATTTATAACTTTATACAAGAGGACACATGCAAACCTGATTTTAATGGCAGAGGTGTGTAATTCTGTATCTATTATCGCTTCCTTTGGTGGAGGAATATGCCTTGAATTGTTCACATTAATGAGTTACTGATGACCCTTGATAAATAGACAGATAGATAGATAGATAGATAGATAGATAGATAGATAGATAGATAGATAGATAGAACGACTAATCTTTCCTTCCTTTGGAAAATTATCACTTGAATTGAATGGACCTGAATGTGGGACATCATACTTCCAATAAATGTTGGTTCTGTTCTTGAGGCACATTAAATTGTTTCCTTTCAGTCTATATAGTGTCATTAACAACAGTAGATAGAAAATCTATTAGGACTGCACAGATAATCACTGGATGATAGTAGCCAGACAAATCATGGAATCATACAACGGTTTGTGTTGGAAGGGACCCAAAAGATCATCCAGTCCACCCCACCGACATGGGAAGGCATATCTGTCACTACATCAGGTTGCTCAAAGCTCCATAGCTCCATCCAGCCCAACTTTGAATACTTCCAGGTGTGTGGCACAACTTCTCTGGACAACCTGTTCCAGTGCCTTTAGCACCCTCATTATGAAAAATTTCTGCCTTCTATTCAATCTAAGTCTACCCTCTTTCAGTTTCAAACCATTACCCCTTGTCCTGTCACTACAGGTCTTGGTAAGAATTCTCTCTTCATCTTTTTCATAAGCCCCCTTTACATATTGAAAGTCCTCACTAAGGTCTTCAGGGAGCCTTCATTTCTTCAGGCTGAACAATCCCAACTCAGCCTTTCTTCTTAATAGAGGTGTTCCAGACTTCTGATAATTTCTGTGGTCCTCCTCTGCACTCCAACAGGTCCATGTCTTTCTTGTACTGGGGACTCCAGAACTGGATTCACTGCTCCAGGTGCAGTCTTACAAGAGCAGAGAGGCAGAAGCACTTGCTGGCCATGCTTCTTTTGATGCAACCCAGGATACAATTGCCTTTCTGGGATGCAAGTTCACATTGCTGGCTCATGTCCAATTCTTTCATCCACCTATATCCCCAAGCCCTTCCCTGCAGGACTGCTCTCAATCCATTCATCACTCAATCTATATTGATATTGGGGTTTGCTCTTAATGCGGGGTGCAGGACCTTGCACTTGGCCTTGTTGTCAAGGCTGTCAAGCTCCCTCTATATGGTATAGCACATTAAGTGCTCCCTCTATCATACCAAATGCACTACTCATCTTTGCATTGTCCACACACTTGAAGAGGCAACTGCTGCTGATCTGCTGCTACTAGCATCATCTTCCCAAGGTTTAAACTGTGCGGTCAAATCCCAGTTTGAGATCCTGGGGTCAAATTGATAACTTGATTACATATGTTTGAGAAAATCTGGATTTTGGAAATGTATTTTTCATACATGAGGGAAAATGAAAATTATTAAGGACCAATTTACCTAACTATCCTTCACTGAGTTTGGCCTAAAGAAGTACCTATACAGCCATGGTATATTTGTCAAGGTAATAGAATATAAACTATATGTGTTTCTTTTACTGCCTTCTGATATAATGTAATTTTAGTTACATTTAATGAAATCTGTGATCATCCTATAAGTTAGTAGAAGTCTTATGATTTATAAAGACCTGGTTTTAATACAGCACACTGAACCCCTTTAACTTTAAAACTGTTTTTTAGCAGGCATGATAAAGACTAGGTTCCTCCATCTTTAGTTGGCAAAAATCTGGTTGCCTGTTAGCTAAACTGAGATACTGAAAATTCTAGTCTCAGGTTAATCAGAAAGCAGGCATCCTACACAGAAAAAAAGGCTTTACATGACCTTCAGGGCTATAAAACATTTTAACTGGATAATGGAGAGCAATATCTTAATATCTATCTTTTTTTCTTCCATGTGGGTAAAAGGTAAGGCTTTAGATTGTGCTGTAACTCCAGAATACAGAGACAACTGAGAGTTCTAAAAAGAACTGTCGTGGTTTAAACCCAGTCAGGTAATTCGTTCGCTCACTTCCCCCCCTTTCTTGCCCTCCCCCTGCTCTCGGAGGGGCGGAGAGGAGAATCAAAAGAATGCAACTCCCACGGGTTGAGATAAGAACAGTTTAGTAACTAAGGTATAACACAAATCACTACTGCTACCACCAATGATAATAATGATAAAGGAAATAACAAGGGAACAGAATACAACACCTCACCACCCGCTGACCGATAACTCGCCCCCCAAGCCCGACCAAGCTCCGACCGATACCTCCTCCAACCCTGCAGTCTCCCAGCCCTTCCGGCTCACTCCCAGTTACATCCTGGGCATGACGTGCTGTGGTATGGAATACCTCTTTGGTCAGTTTGGGTCAGGTGTCCTGTCTCTGCTTCCTCCTGGCTTCCCCTCCTCCCTGGCAGAGCATGAGGCTCACAAAGTCCTTGGCCAAACCAAAACATCTCTATCAGCTCTGTTCCCGAGCCGAAAGTCAAAACACTGCACTGCACCAGCTACCAAGGAGGAGAAACATGACTGCTACTGCTGAACCCAGGACACAAACCACATTTCGTCTACATCTTGAATAACTGCAGAGCTCTCTGGGAGTAAGTACTTCATCTCTCCCTCTCTCTCTGTGTTCCCATAGCACAACAGCAAAATAGCAGACAGCTGGGCGAGAGACTTACCAACTTCTTAATTATCCCTCTCTGTCCTTTGAGTAAAAGTACTTCTGGAATTACTGTTCCTGAGATTTCTAGACCCCCCCCCAAGCTTGCATGCAGCAATAATAGGGTTGTTGATGTTATTCAAAAGTCCTTATTTTGACTTACGAGTATAATTTTGTATTTATCAAAATACATTCCATGGATAGGATCTTTCTGGGACAATAAAACAGAAAGTTAAAGCTTTTCCTCTTACTTATTTTAGTGGACACTGTTCAAAAAGTAGAGTGCTGCTGTGCTAAGTTTAATTTCTCATGCACTTTAGGGTTTGTGAGGATCCTGCATCTGCCAGCTCAGTAGTTTCTGTTGCTACTCATACCTCACCATGGTGGCAGCTGAAGACACTGCTGGAGTTAGGGGAAATTCCTAACTTGTCCCAGTGCAAGTCAGTGCTCCTGTATCTTGATAAATTGCATACTACAACACACAGAAGTAATAAATTCCACTGTCTCCACCCCCACATCCCATGCTTTGTGCACTGTGTAGGATGATAGAATTTTTTATAATAATTTTAAGTTATTCAACTGTTGAGTTGAATTTTCAGAATTCCAAAAGTATATATGGAATTATTTAACTGAAAT